TCTGTCTATCTGTATGTCTCTTTATCTCTATCTCTCTTCCTGTCTCTATTTGTCTATCTGTTTATCTTTCTCTCTCTCTCTTCTTCTCTATGCCTCTCTCTTTCTTTCTCTCTCTTTCTCTCTCTCTTTCTCTTTCTCTCTTTCTTTCTCTTTCTCTCTTTCTTTCTCTTTCTCTCTCTCTCTCTCTCTCTCTCTATTTCTCGCTCTCTCTCTCTCCCACTCTTTTCTCTCCATATCTATCTATCTATCTATCTCACACATACAAACGCATTAAGGCACATACACTTTCACCTTAAAACAGTCAAAAAAAAAAAAAAAAAAAAAAAAAAAAAAAAAAAAATGCACCCTACACTTAGCAACGCACTGCTCGCGGACTGTGAATAGCGATGCCATCACGAGCTTAAAATGCTAGTTGCACGAGACTATTGAACGAGAGACACCTTCGAGTGCCACTCCGAGAGCCGTTAGCGGATGCGGTTTCCCTGTTCGATCCACAAATAACTTCCTGCGTTCACAATGCCCACATTCTTTCGCTATCTCCGACGCGGGATATTTTCGAAGAAGAAATTATGAAATCCCGAGGAAAAAGGGGAAATTATCTCGCCATCAGCACAAGAGAGAGCAGGACATTACCAGAAAATGTTTGTCACTTCTTATCGCTTCTTCCCCGTCCTCTCCTCTCTCTCTCTCTCTCTTCCTCCCTTCGCTTTCTCAAGCTTGGCCTCTCTCTTCCTCCTTTCGTTTTCTTAATCAGCTCCTCTCTTTCCCTACCCTTCTCTCTTTCTTGTTCATTTTCTTCCCTTCATCTTTCTCTCCCTCTTCTCCGTTCTTTCCTCTTCCTCTCCCTTTCTATCTCCACTTTATTTTTCTCCCTCTTACTCTTCCTCCTTTTTGTCCTCTTCGTCTCCTTCCCTTCGCTCTCTCTTGCTCTTTTTCCGTATTTTTTCCTTCTCATTTTCTTTCTCCTCTCTTCCTTCTGTTATTTCGTCTTTCTCTTTCTCTGTCTATTTTCTCTCCTCCACTTCCTTATTCACATTTTTCTATCTTTCTCTTACTCTGTGCTTGCCTCTTCTGTTTTATTTCCTTCTCTTCCTCCTTCTCCCTCCTCCCCCTTTCTTTTTCCCTCCTTTCCCTTTTCCTCTTCCTACCCTTTTTCTCTCTCTCTTTAATTTTTCACTCTTCCC